ACCCCTTCCCTTCGGTCATCTTTTCCCCTGTCTCAGACCAGCCTGCTTCTTTACACCATAAAAGTCCCTACCCCCTGACCTGGTGAGTTGTCCTAGGTGACCTCTGGGATGTCCTTTCTGCTCCACTCTGCTGGTGTCCTTTTGGGATTGGGGTGGGTTGTCTGACCTCCATTGTCTAGATGGAGCTGATGTACACTTCTCAGTGGCTTCTCTGACCTTCACGGGGAGAAAACAGGTTTGAGGGCTTAGCCACCTGCTTGGTACCGGCTCAGGCAGTGGCATCTTCATTTTCTGCAGTGTGAGGCTGAGAAGGGATGATGTTCAGATCCCAGGGCCAGACGGGGACAACGATGCTTAGCTTTTTCAAAGAGCAGTGATGAGGACCAACCAGCAAGACAACTCAGTGTGTGAAGTGCTTGACACACAAGCCTAGTGACCTGAGTTCAAGCCCCAGGACCCACAGAAAGAGAACCAGCACCCAGAAGTTGTCCTTTGTGGTGATCGTATATGCACGTGCACACACGCACACACAATAAGAAGAAGAAGATTATATTAATTTTTTAAAAGAATAAACTGAGCAGTGGTGGTGCATGCCTTTAGAGCTGGGTACTAAGAACTGAGGTCACCCAACTCGAACTCAGGGCTGGAGACGTGCCAACTTCTCAGCTGGCGCTGCCCTAAGAAGAGGAAGAGAAGGACACCCATGGGTGCTCCATGTTGGGTCCTTCCACCTGAATTCTCTAAGCTGCCACCCACTGCTTCTGGGCATCCACCAGGAGGCACAGGGCCATGTTCCACTGAGCCCAGCCCTAGGTCCCTCGGCCTGCAGGTCTTGACATCTCAGCAGCCTTACAGAGAACCTTCGTGGGGTGATGTTTCTTTCTCGTCCTTTTCTGGTTTTTCAAGGCAGGGTTTCTGTGTGTAGCCCTGGCTCTCCTGGAGCTTGCTTTGTAGACCAATCTGGTCTTGATCTTAGAGATCTGCCTGCCTCTGCCTCTTGAGTGCTGGGATTAAAGCCACATACCACCACCAAAAAAAAAAAAAAAGTCCCTACCCCCATCCTCAGGTTACAGAATTGAGACTTGGGTCTTCTGTGTCCTCCATCTTTGCCTCACAAAAAGATTCTCTACTGTAAAAACCACTTTCAGTGACGGTCACACGCTAGTGTACAAATCAGGCCTAGATCGGTAGGAACAGCTTCTGTCTTGTTATACCTGAGTGGTATCCTTTTATGATAAGCGACGTCCTGAGAACCAGGAGAGGGGAGGGGAGGGGCTTGTTGAGGTGACAACCTGGGGTTTGGGATTAAAGCTGAAGTAGGGAGAGGCAGGTGACTGTGGGACTGGCCCATTCCCTGAGGGCTCTTCAACCTTGGGCAGTAACTGTCAGAACCGCACTCAATTATAAAACACCATCTGTAGACAACAGGAACTCGCCTGGTATGAAAATCCTACACTTCTGCTGAGAGGTGAGACACAAGTTACCCCTTGCTTTTCTAAGACTGCCACTTTGCTTTGGAAATCCAAGCGCGACCCCCTCCTTCGAGCCCACTGAAGACCTCCCAGATCTCCCAGCAGAGTATCTGCTGTGGCATTGTCTGGGGTGTATCTGTTGATACCCACCAATGGAGACCGGAGCCAACACTTAGAAAACAAGCAGGACAGACAGACAGATCCAGGATTGGTGCAGAACTTCCAAAGGCAAAATTCCAAAGTGCTTCACGCATTGGCTGCTCCTTCCAGTATCCCCCCAAGTCTTTCAGGAAAGCGTCTAGAGGCCACGTGAACGAGTGGGCGCGTAACTTAGGGTGGGCCCCACAGACACTCGGCATCCGTTAAGAGCTGTGTAGACTCCTGGAGGATGCTGACGCAGATACACCGCTTCTCTGGTCTGAATGAATGCAACTGGCCACCACCCAGG